CTTGGCTCAACTATCGTATCTAGCCAGACACTCCCTTTAAAGGGATTGTTCTAGATAAACAAAATTTAGATTGAATTGGATTGAAATGTTTCCTTTTTATTTATTCTTATCTAAATTCGCATAAAAATGTCATTTAAGAAACATGCATCAACTTAACACAATTAATAATTTATATTTGTAAAAATCTCAGAGCGAATAAAAATTAGTACCAATCTAATGCCAAGTGAATACAATAATATAAACCAGCGAAATATCCCCTTTTTTCGTAAAAAAATCTCTTTCAAAGGTTTTTAAAATGTTTCTTAAAACCTCAATTTCAAAGATCCCCATCCTCGCCTCCAAAAAAGTGCAACAAACTTTTACCTCATACCACATTCCACTGACTGTTAACTTACTGCTCCAGAGCTCTTGTTGTCATAGGATCAAGAAGCATAGAATTGTGTTGTTTATTCTTGCCTAAATTTAATATTTTCCAATATACTCCTAGATATCCGATATACTCCTAGATATCCGATAAACAACTAGATATCCAATAAACTCCTAGATATAAAATATACTCCTTGATATCCAGTATACTCCTAGATATCCAATATACTCCTAGAATCCAATATATTCTTAGATATACAATGTACTCCTAGATTTCCAATGTACTCTTAGATATCCAATATATTCCTAGATATCCAATATATTCCTAGATATCCAATATACTTCTAGATATCTACCAAACTTCTAGATGTTCAACGTATTTCTAGATTTCATATTCATATTTTTATTCAACTACAAAGCACGAGATAATACAAATAAAAAATCACAATTTACTATGTAGTTTGGACCCGCCTAACCAGAGTAGGTTGTTTTCATATTCAATCCTNTATTTGCAAACACAAAATTTTCCTTGGATGGCTCCTTCAGATATGTTTCAAAATTAACATTAGAATCCGGAATATAACTAGACAATCTGGGTCCAATGTTCACAAAAAAGTCATTAAAACCCTCTGCTATTTCAGCAGATCCCACAAAACTTTTTTCATCATCAGTGAAAATATCAGGAACTGAATGACTTTTTTTCTTAGAAGATATAATAGAGTTCAGTAAAGACCAGGTCTTTTTGATGTCTTTTGAGTATTCTGTAAATTTTGAAGAAAAATAACTAGTCTTGGCCTTTTTTATTGTTGTGCGATAAACAGAATTATATTTTCTAAAAGTTTCTAAATTGTTTGTAGTTGGATTCAGGATTTTTTTCTTAAATAATTTTTCTTTTTGTTTTCTTGACACTAGCAAGGCGGAAGTGAACCAAGGGTTAACAGAATTTTAATTTTTGTTTGGTTTATATTTGATAAATGGAAAGCTTTCTTCATAAATATTATTTAAAGTGTTAGAAAATTCAGAAAAGGCTGTAGAAGGATCTTCATTTATCATAACATGAGTCCAGTCATTGAGTAACAATTTTTCCTTAAACTTGGTTTTATTTTCGATTGAAGTGTTTCTAATTAGAACTGGTTTGCTACCAATATTATCTTCATGTTGTGTACATTTAGACAAAGAAAAAACGGGTAAATGGTCAGATAAACTTGAGTAGATGATTCCACATTCTTTTGACTCAGGATCTGAATTACTAAATATGTGATCTAATAATGTTGCAGATGTTTGAGTAATACGTGTAGGGATATAATATAATCCTAGATATTCAATATAATCCTAGATATTCAATATATTCCTAGATATCCAATATACTCCTAGTTATCCAATATATTCCTAGATATCAAATATACTCTTTGATATCCAGTATACTCCAAGATATCCGATATACTCCTAGATATTTAACATATTCCTGTAATCCAATATATTCCTATAATCCAATTTATTCCTAGATATCCGATATATTCCTATATCCATTCCAGTTATCAAGTATACTCCTGGATATCCAATATAGAATATTTAGATCGTGATTTGATTTTGAAAATCTAACTTTCACATTGATTAGCGTATACTTTTAAAGTCTCAGTTTTTCTTTTTCGTCCAATACAATATAGAGTGTACCTTCTAAGTTTACGTTTGCGCATAAACCTATAAAATGTTGCTATAGTAGTTTTAAATCCAAACAGAAAGAAAGTTGTATAATTCATGATAAAATAAAAAGATTTGAGTTGATTGAAATACTGATTTGAGAATTGTTTTTAGTAATTTACCCCTGTAGAATTGTATTGTTGCTGCATATTTATCAATAACTGACCTAAAAACATTTGTTAACCCATCTAACTAATTAAATTAACTAATTAAAGGTCACTGCTAAGAATAAGAACTTTTAAATGGAAAAATCAATAGAATAAAGCATATATTTGCTTATCTCACAGTACCTTTATGGTAGTCTTGCAATCTTGCAGCCGCCACTTCCCCTCCGTGCCTTAAAATAATTTAATTGAATCTAACAAAACACTATTTTGAGTAATACACTATTCAAAAATTTCAATACCAACGTTTGTAACTTTAAAAATTGATCACTTTCAATTGTCATTTCTGTACAGAAGGGATTCGCGCATTTCTACTGCAGGAAGCATACAGGAATTAACAAAAACAACCCCAGAAAAACGACAGATTATTTCACAATAGTTAAGGGTACTGCTGTGAATAATGCATTACCAGCTTTTGCATTGCAGGTCACTTAAAATTACATCCTTTTAAGAAGAAATTCTGATAGTTAAATAAGCATATCCACGTATAGACTATTTCAAGCAAATTCCTGTCAGTAGTGCTGTTTTTTTCTGCCTCAAACACTGATAGAAGTATTTTCATTTGAGATGTGGCATAGTTGAACACCTTAGTGACATCTTCGCATTTGACAAGTTCTTGCTGCTGATTTCTACCGATTTCAGCTGTATTGTGGTGTACTTCAGAGTTAACTCAAATGGTCCAAGGTTCCCCCATGTTGTGGTTTAACAGCTCTAGGCTCTTCAATTTCTGATCTCTTTGGTCTCCCATTAGTAGCATTCTTAATTTCTCTAATTGTCTTTTGATTAAGTTCTTGAGATCAAAACCTATTAAGGACCTTGTGCGGCAACTAGTTCCTTCTTGAACCGGAACTTTTTTAACGATGTACACTAGCAGTTCAAACTTAGTATTATCTAGAAGAGTTTCAAAAGATAGACTTTCGTTGATAGTTTGCGCGGTTGTAAGAAATCTCCCCAATCTTCTAATACTCGCCTTTTTAACTCGAATTGAGGGAAGGTCTTCTTCATCATGGAGTGTTATTACCAAATAGTTAACAAAGTTAACCATTATTGGGTCCTTCATGACTGCTTTCCCAACTTGATCCATCGCCATTTTGGTGACAATCGGTGCAGCATTTGCACAAACCTGTGGGATTACTTTTTTAATTTTTCGAGATTCTTTAACTGAAATTGTTTGTCCAGGTTCACGGCAGGGGCAGATTTTCTTGTGTTAAACAATTTCTGTATGTAGCATCCAACAGAGACATGCTGAGCATGGTAGATAATCAGCAGCGGGCTTGTTACATTTTCTTGACGTTCTTAACGTTTCAGCACTACCTTCTGCGACAGCCTGATTATATAAATAAATATATTATGATGGAAAATAAATTTTCATCTCAACAATAATCTAAGATCTTTACTCAATTATACTGGGCCATTATTGAAGACTTTGATGGCCGTGAAAGTCCCTTTTTATAGCCCTGGAAATGAAAATTTCAAAAGAAAAGCTTCTTTCTACACTAATTATGGAAAGAATTCAGAAAATTCTTACAGAATTTAGCTTCAAACCCTTGCACAGATTGGACTAAAATATATAAATTAATACAAACCCAGAGGATTAATGTGAACACAGTCTCTTTTATTTCCATTAAAACCTACTTCTGAACAAAATTCATATCTTTGCCGGAAGCCCCAACTTTACAACATTTTATAATGACTTTTTCTCTTACTTTTACAAATGGTAACCAATTAAACACTGACCTTCATATTGAAGTTATGATCGGCTAAATTGCTTAGTCTCACAAACTGTCTTTTTCTGTCCTCTGGTTGAAGCTTCATAAACTGAACCACGGTCTCCTCCTTCCTGTGGACGGTCTGGATATGTGTCTGGGTTTTCTGCTTCATTTCTCCACAAAATACACATTCCTTGTACTTGTCTTTACCTAAACATGAAAACTTCAGAATATTGTTTATTTCTCTTCGTTAAATAGAACCAACGTTATTCTATATAACAGGAAGAACTAAACCTTACTCTGGTTCTAACTAAACCTTACTCTAATTCTATTGAACAAGAACTAAACCTTACTCAGGTTCTATTTAACAGGCAGAACTAAACCTTACTCTGGTTCTATATAACAGGAAGAATCAAACCTTACTCTGGTTCTATTTAACAGGGAGAAATAAACCTTACTCTGGTTTAATATAACAGGGAGAACTAAACCTTACTCTGGTTCTATTTAACAAGGAGAACAAAACCTTAATCTGGTTCTATATAACAGGGAGAACTAAACCTTACTCTGGTTCTATTTAACAGGGAGAACTAAACCTTACTCTGGTTCTATTTAACAGGAAGAACTAAACCTTACTCTGGTTCTGTTTAACAAGGAGAACTAAACCTTACTCTGGTTCTATTTAACAGGGAGAACTAAACCTTACTCTGATTCTATTGAACAGGGAGAACTAAACCTTACTCTAGTTCTTTTTAACAGGGAGAACTAAACCTTACTCTGGTTCTATATAAAAGGAAGAACTAAACCTTACTCTGGTTCTATATAACAGGAAGAACTAAACCTTACTCTGGTTCTATTTAACAGGAAGAACTAAACCTTACTCTTGTTCTATTTAACAAGGAGAACTAAACCTTTCGCTGGTTCTATATAACAGGGAGAACTAAACCTTACTATGGTTCTATTTAACAGGGAGAACTAAACCTTACTCTGGTTCTATTTAACAAGGAGAACAGAACATTACTCTGGTTCTATTTAACAGGGAGAACTAAAACTTACACTTGTTCTATTCTTTAAAACTGATCTTTCCAGGGACAGGTTCAGAATCTATCTCTCCGGGTACTGGCATAGAACTGATCTCCATAGGAACTGGTTTAGAACTGATCTCCATAGGAACTGGGTTAGAACTCATCTCTCCAGGGACTGGTTTAGAACTGATCTCCATAGGAACAGGTTTAGAACTGATCTCTCCAGGCACTAGTTTAGAAATAATCTCCGAAACTGGCTTGGAACTGATCTCTCCAAGAATTGGTTTAGAACTGATCTTTCCAGGCATTGCTTTAGAACTGATCTCTGTAGAAACTGGTATAGAACTGATACCCATAGGAACTGGTTTAGAACTGATCTCTCCAGGTTCTGGTTTAGAACTGATCTCTCCAGGGACTGGTTTAGAACTGATCTCTGTAGGAGCTGGTTTAGAACTGATCTCTTTAAGTACTGGTTTAGTAGAACTGATCTCTTCAGGATCCGGCTCCACAAAACCCTAAAACGAATTATACATATAATGGTCAATGCTCATTTTCATATACTAAGAAATGTTATCTTTAAACTCATTCCTGGAATGCACTTGACCAAAATTCCCAGATGTGCAATCATTTTTAATATTCTTAAAAGCTGGTTATGATTAATAAACCTGAACTTTTTTTACTTATGGAGGAAAATACATTTCCAACAGGGTAAAAAAGTAAGAATATAATAAAAACAACCACCACGGTAATTTTGATAAGACATTATTTGCTGAAACAAATTTTTTTTCTGTGCATGGAATTACGAAGACATTAATTGAAATCTTCATTGGATTACCTCATAATCTTTGATAATTTCATCTGTGAGGCACACTGAGTCCTTTTTATCTACAGAATACGTTTCTACAGGTTCCTAGGGCAATTGTAAGTTGCATTTCTGGACTGTTTACATTTATCAAGAAAAAGATTCAAGTATGCACCCCCCTTTTTCAGTTACATAAAGAATAGGCAAATTATATTTAGGTCTTTCAACTATCAGGATTAAAATCGGATTAAGTTAGAAAAACGGTTTTGGTCAAACAAAGGTTTTAAGGTTGCCATTGTGAATCGGACTAATCGCTTTTCAAAATTACAATTTGATCTTAATGATTATTTCTAATTTACGACTGCTATAGTTGTTAATTACCTAACAATCTTTGGCAATTTCATCGGCAATATATTTTTCTGATGCTTCCTCTTTTTCTAAATATCTTTGATTTAGAACCCTTATATCTGAATAATATATTTACAATCAAATGGGTAAAAAATAGTACGTCGTAAATATTGTTAAAAGTAAAAATTTGTGTTCTGTTAACCCTATCTCCGCTGGGGTACTTAAAAACCAGGATACGCTGGGGGGGGGTCAATTTGACCCCCCCCTCTAAATCCCATGTTTTATGTCCAAATATGACAAATGATACATCATTAGAAAGCTCTTGTGCTCTACTTTTAGAATCTGCAAAAAAATTTGCAAATTTGCGAAAATTGAATTTTTTATCGCAAAATCCAGTTTTATAGTAAAAATGTTTGCAAAAAAAAATTTGTCCAAAAAATGACAAATTATACATTTTTGAAAAGCCCTTGACCATGCCATTTTAAATATGCAAAAATTTTTGCAAAATTTTAAATAACCTGATTTTTAATCAAGAAAAACTAAAAATGTGCAAATTTCCTTTGACAGGTTGTTTGCAAAAAATTTGCAATTTTTTTTTCGCAAAACTTGTGCAATTCGTTTCCTTATGTCATAGGCTTTCCAAAAAGTTAAATTTTATCAAAATCTGACAAGTAAAAGTGGGTCAAAACAAAGATTTAGTTTGCTACAGGCAAAAGCAGTCATTCAGGCAGTGTGCCTGAGGACTCAGGCAGTTAGTATTAAAGCCCGGTTTTAGGCCTAAAGGGAGGGCTTTGGGTATGTAAGAAAAGTCAGAAAATTTCAACAGCCTCAGACCAATACTTTTTGAGTTATGTAAAAAAAACTACAGGGGGGGGTCAAATTGACCCCCCCCCCCAGCGGGAATAGGGTTAACAAAACTTGTATTTCTTATCAAAAGCATTTCAGAAAAAAAATAAAAATAACTAAACTTATAATTCGCTGTATCCTTATAATACTAAATATGAAAAATGTCTTTTCTCCTTTTAGAATTTTTTATTATTATTATATGTTCAATTTTTAATACAGAAGTTTGATTAAATTTTGCGGATTTAGGTCACCTGATTTGTGCAAAATCCTCCCTATCCAGGTCTTGTCTAGAAAAAAAAGATTTTTAAAATTCAGTAATCTTTAACGCCCTCTGCTCTCTCTAGTTTTTTTGCCCTTTCAATTAATTTTGACACTAAAACGACCAAGCATTTGCTTGATTCACTTCTAGAAGAGAAAATAAAGAAAGAAGCCATTGTGTAGTGATGCAGCCTAGGGATAGTCATCAAGAGAGTTAGTCACCTTAGTTTCTGAACAGGTCGATAGAGATGGCTACCGTGATACCCAGAGAAGTCCTGGAGCAACTGGGGAAGTTTTGTAATGATATAAATGGTAGCCTGGCGGCCAGGCTTGCAGGTCAAGGCGATGCAGGGCTAAAGGGAAGCGAGAAGCTTCCGTTAGCACCTCCACATCTAATCCTGGGCTCAACAGATGAGACTACCGCAACAAGTTCATGGACAGTCATAAGTTCCCACGCTAGACAGAGTCGCACGTTGATGAGCTTAGCGCATGCCACGTTCATTGCGAAACGCGAGGGTTTGGTGAACAAGAAATTTGAGACACTGGGGAGGGATGACGCTTGCAACGGAATGAAGGTCGCAGCTGCATTCACAGCAGTCCACTCAGGTCTCTGCGGGTATTTTGAGCTGGACCCGAAGGAGATCATAGTTCACGGTGATGGGAGTGTCATGTTCAAGGGGAAACATGCAGTTCAAGTGCCTCCAGGCTATACCTCTGAAGTCGATACCTCTGATCCCTTGTTTCCTTTGGCTGGGGTGGTGGGTAGGGAATGGAGGACCTATTATGGGGTCGACCGACACACTCAGGACACAAGGGACATGCTTCAGGCCGAGATGGATGAGGCAATGAAGACAGCTATCCAGTCTCAGCAAACCAACAGGTGGCTAATTACATACTGTACGAACGAAATGGTCAGCAAGGCACTGACCCTTATGGTCGCGGCTAAGTTCAAATGGTATACGACCAACCACCACGTCGGCCAGGGACATGCAACTAACTTTATCACAAAGATAGCAGGAACCATATGTCAATTCATGCAGACGAATGAGAGCTCCATTTCTGAGACTGCAAGAAGCACTGTGTGGGAGATTGGCCATTGGGTCAGTACACATCTGTGTATGAATTTAATGGCCATGAAGACCCGGATTCGAGTATCTGCCCATCCTAGTGGGAGTGCAGTGGGGTCGGCCATCCTGGCCGACGACATGAAAATTAGGTGCGACGCAGCGCCGGCTGGGATGGCCAAGGCTGCGCTGCTACATTCGGTCATAAAGCTACACCGCAAAAACATGTTGTGGTTGGTTGCCCCACAGTTCGACCAGGTTCTAGACTGCGTGTACGAATATCAACGGTTCCTTAACGACTTGAGGACAGCCAAGCAGACTAGAACTGTTGACCCGAGGATGTGGAATCACAAAGGGAGGATGTACCTAACGGGAAAGCCGGACAAACATAGGATCATGGATCTCCTTGTTCCGCTGGGAGTAATAGGATCGTTCCTATTCCACAAATGCCCGAGCAGCACCATGACTGCATCACCGCTGATATCCGCAAGGAATAGGAACAATCGGATGGAAGCCAGATACCAAAACCACCATGGGTTTTCTGCTGAATTCGACGAACTCTACAGGGTCACGAAGGACAAGGTACTGGAAGTAACCAAGGAAGTCAAGGACCTAATAGGAGCTAGCGACACAGCCCTTGCAATCAACAAGGAAGACTACGTTAACATGATGCAGATGTTTAATGTGGACCCGGGTGAGTCATCACGGAAGTTTGATCATGCTGTTAGGTCTCTTGGAGGAGGGCCTGGCGGTCGCTGTTCTGGACAGAAGAGAAGGAGGGATGATGATTCTCCTTCAGGCAGATCCAGAAAGAGATTCACAATGAGCACTCCACCTCCTCTACCCTCGGATCTCGAAGAGGAGTCGGACGATCATGACGACAGGAGGGAGGGTGACGACTCAACGATGGAGGAGCCCAGACCTGGCCCATCTTCTGGCCCTACCCAATGAGCAGCTCTATGAACCAGGAGTAGGCTGGGCAACTACCAATATAACCACATTTAGAAGTAAACCATCGATCTCAGCATTTGTTATGTATATATATGTACCAATACAGTTATCTATACCAAAATTTTAAATAATGTACCTAGTCTTGTTAAGTCATTGAACGATATGAGCTGTTATCCGTATTTCTAATTTTGACACTAAAACCTTGAAAATTTAGAGGAACAGTAATGTCAAGGATTTTTTGCTAAGAAAACCAAAGGTCCATGGAGCAAGGGAAGGCAACCTTCCCCACACAGTTTTCAAACCTCATTTTACCTATTTGCTGCAGTGCGCGTCCCCAGAGTACTTCCGAACCTCTTAAGGGAAGGATCTTCAATTTATAATCGTCAATTTCTACTTATAACGGGACTAATTTAATTATTAAAGCACAGTAGTCAATCCATGGTATCCTTAACATTTGAATATTTTTTTTTACAAGTAAAGTTTGGGGAGAAAATTGCTTTGTTAGATGGATTTTTTTTTATTAGCAAATCTTGGAATTGTTGGCACTTTTTTATGAATAACTTTCAGTAATATGTAGAAAAATAAAAAAGTTTTCTTCATAAAATGTTGTTTCTAAAAAACATATCTGTTAGTTAATTTTCTTTCTAGTTATTGAGATATTTAAAGAAAACAAAACTCTGTTATAACCTTTTGAATTTTAATTCTAAATAATCTTAAAACTATTGCTGCCTTTTTTTTACAAGCGCTACAGATTTGAAATACTTGTAGATCGAAAGATAATTACATTTTCTTCAATTATCATTGTTTAATGCATTATTTTTCAGGTAAATTAACTTAATTTAGATAATATGTTTTCGTCTGCAAAATTCTGTAAGTTTACACGTTTACGTTAATTTCTTTAATTTGAAGTTCAAGGGATTTGAAGCTGTACAAAAATTCAAATATGGAATTAAAAGTCATCAAGTTCCGAACGATGAGTGTGTTAGAATGTTCCCAATATTATTTCTGAACCTCGAGGTACGGAATCAGTATGGGGATTCAGCACAATGTCGCAAATCAAAACAAAACGTAACACAATTTCAAACAATATCTACAAAGTTAAAGTTTTACCAGCCCGAACTTTGATTGTAAAAAAAAATATATTACGCAAATGTTAAGGATACTATAGATCGACTACTGTGCTTTAATAATTAAATTAGTCCCGTTTTAATGTATTTTTAAGTAACAGTACAATCTAGTCATGGCCCATGTCACACAAAAGAGTAGCTCTAAAAACCTGTTCAAAATATACTGGAGGAACAGGATACTGGATTCTGTAACCAAATACTGAATACTGGAAATCTATTCTCCTCGATCTGA